GGTCTTGCCCTTGTGTTTGCAATAGGAGCCTGAGTAATTTGCCCGAGATCCCATAATGAGATAGCAGAATCAGAACTATGATTTGGCGGTTATTGAACTCTGGTGCAGGATTTCCTCTCCTCCAGTTTTCATTTTTCTTCTGTGCTCCTGCAAATGCAGAATATCCAGTCTCTTTGGAACTTTGCTTAAAGGAAGAATGTTAATCAAAGACAACCCTTGGGACCTGGTACAGGTGTTTTGAATATATTAATTTGTGAGCAGATTTGTGTAAAGAAAATTTTTACAGTTAAGAATTCAAATGCTTAGGTTCAATCTGGTTCTCAGTTGTAGTGTCTTAAAACCACTGAAAATGTGACCTTTAGCTGACCCATGACTATCCAAATTGACACCAGAAGGAGCTGCAAACTGGCTTCATTGTGAAATTAATGGATTCCTCTTCTGTAATAGATATGGGGAAACAAACTACAGATTTTAAAACCATCTCTTTGGGAACTGCATCTTAATGATATCAGAATTGAATAAATATATGCACAGTTCCAGGAATCTTCTAATGGAGCCTCTGGGCTTTGATTTTTACATCTGCTTTTCTGTGGTTTTGTAGCTCACCTCATGCACTAGCCATTTAATATATATTTTATATTGCTAAAATAGTTTGCACATTTATTTTTTAATTACAAAAGGCTCCCACCCTCATCACATCTGCATTGGAAGTATTTGCATAACTGGGGGCCTGCAGTGGTAAGTGAAGGCAGCTCTCCTCTAGAGCAATATAGATTGCCAGGCCTGGAACACCAAAGGGAAGCAGTGAGATGCTAAAACATTTCCAAATTCAGTCAGTTCTTTGTGATGGAGGTGAGAGGAGAAATTGTAAAAACAAGACAGCTAAATCAAAATTAACTATAAAGAAATTACAATTATTATAATTTGTTGCAGTAGAGCAAAGATTTCATGGAAAGTTGTGGCAAAAGTACCATTAATAAAACACATAAACACTGGGTAACCTAAGGGAGAGCTGGTTCAGACTCTGAGAAACAGCTTTAGCAGAAATGATTACTTAAGAAATGTGGCTTGTAGTCTAATGGAATATCCATTGTAACAGGTAAAAAGGAAACTCAGCTTCTCAAAGATTATTAATTGTTTAACATGCCAGCCCTTCAGTGTCTCCATTATCTTGTCCATATAGGATCTTTTAAAAAATATTTATAGGGTGTTGGATCCCAGAAATCTGGAGTTTTTGAGCTTTCTGTGTTTCCAGGCACAAACTCCCTGGAAAACACTGCTCTGGACCTGAAACCTTGGAGAAGGCTTGGAAATCTGAATAATGAGTTACAAATCACAAATGTGTAGTGGGTTAGATTTGTGTGTTTTCACTGGGTGATGGGTTTTAAATTTGTGGGTTTTTATAGTATAGTGGTAGATGTGGGACAAGATGGAGAATTTTGGGTGGTGTCTTTTTCTTTGTTCATCTTCTTCCATCTCCTTCACAGGAGTCAGGCAGTGACCTTTGGTTGGTCAGTGTCACTCTAAGGGTCGTGGGAATCTATTATTGGGTCAAAAGGATAAACAATGTAGGTGTTAAACTTTTATTAGTTGATTTAGCTTTAAAAGGCCTTGAAGCAGGCTCAGCTGGGGCCATTTTTTCCTACTTCTAGCAAGGAGCTGGAGGTGCTGTCACACTTTCTGTAATTTCTGATAAGATACAATAAACATCCAAGCCCCAACACGAGAATCACCTCAATCGTGTTTCTATTAATCCTGGCTCTAAAAAGAACCAAACGAGACTGATAACAAACCACTAATAAGTGGTGCAAAGCAAAGCATATACCCCCACAATGGGGAAAATGGAGTCTGAAATGTCAAAGACTTCTAATATTTATTGTTAAAGGGCTCGAACTTCAGTCAGTTCCATTTATGTTGCTGGAGACATCTGCAGGAAGTGTGAGCCAAGGTATCCACTTACCAATGACCGATGATAGCACATGGTAAAGATATTTAGATCCCTAAAGTAACACAGAAGTGCAAAAGGAGTTTTCAAACCTACAAATCTATCTCATTTCTGAAAGTGGTGTGTTCGGGAAATGGCCAGCAGCTGGTCTGTTATAAAACTGAAATAAAAGGAAGGAACTAATCCAGAAAACTTAGATAAGGGATGTTTAATGTGGACACTGTGGCCACTCTAGGCTAGGGGTAAGAGCCCGAGGCTTCAGAGAGGTGTTTCCCATGGCAAAACAGGAGCCAAGGCTTGAACCTCATCCCAAAACTCTCTGGAAGCTCAGTTGTGCTACCAACAACCTGCATGGATCCCTCCTCTGCAGAGATAGCTTTGAAGTGCACATCAAGGCACATCTATCCTCTAAAGTACCACTGAAAACCTTGGAAGTCAAACTACTTTTTAAAATGTACTTTTAAGCAAAGTTTGGAAGATACTGCTGCAAGGCAAACAGAGGGTGCAATATACTTTTTTTAACTTGCTTAGCATTGTAGATCTCTTAATCCTGACATTTCTTTGTAGCATAAAGCTCTCCAGGTTATATGCATTGTAAAACTCTAGTTAGTGAAAACAAACATTGTTTCCAGAGTCATCTGTTTGCAATTTTCCTTGATTACTCTTCCAATAGATTTCAAGCTGTGGATTGAAAGATTTAATGTTCATATGGATAGAATTTGTTCCTTTTCTAATGATAACTTTTTGTTACATTACTCAGTCTTAAGTCAGCCTGCATTTACTTTTTTCAAGATAAACGATTTTGTCATCTTAAATCAAATTGTCATGACTGTCCTCAGCAATCTGTCACAGCAGAGTTATTTTTGTCTGGCTGTTCTGACAGCCAGATCCTAAAAACAGCATCTGAGTGCGTGTGAACAATGTTGGACTGTGCCAGTGGGGGAGATCAATGTAGGGATGACATAAAGGAGAAGCATCTGTAGATGAACTCGGCTTCCAGGCATTACAAGAATTTTGGATGTAGGGAGAATCAGAATCAACAGAATGGTGTCCCCACAAGCAGGCACAGCAACAAGGAGCCATTTATTGTAAAGGACAGGGAATGGGACGAGCTCTGCTCTGGGAATGGGAACAGTCCCCCAGCAGTGGAGGAGGACACAGCCCCTTCCAGCTTTGGTGCCCTGTCACTCTCTCTGCCAGGCTCTGTGGCTGTCACAAGGCACAGCCGAGGGGAGGTGCAGGTGGTGATGGAGATGTTGTTCCATGGCACTTCCCCTCTCCTGCTCATGAGTTTTCCTGAAAGGCTTTGCTGTGAGATCCTTGTAATTCCTTCTGGGGACACAGGAAACAAATCGGGGCTCTCCTCTCCCTCACAGCCCTTTGCATGGGGGCTGCACTCACATCTCTTCTCTTCCCTCTCTGTTGAGGACAAATATTAAATTCTTCCAAGTCTCCTTTCTACATTGTTTCCTTTGCTTTTGATCATCTATTGATTTTACTGCTATCAACAACACAAAACTGAACTTTTTGTACTGGGAATTAGAATGAATGCCATGGAACTCTGATAGAATTATAGCAGATTTGTACATATACGGTTTTACATTGGATAGAGTAAGAACTGGAACTAATTTGTTGCTATAAAAGTACAAATGTCCTCAAAATAACATCCCAGAACAAGAGTGGTTCTGAGGACACCTAACTATGCTAACATTACATGTTGAAAGATGAAAGAGCCTTTAATTCTAACTTTTGCAAATAATCCTTTTATTTATCAGATTTTAAGAGTTGTTTCTTAATTAAAAACATATATTTGTTGTATATGAGTTTATTTCTATGTGTAAATTTTAAAAAGTTGTACTTCAAATTAGCTTAACACCTTCTAGTACAAATTTAAAATTACGTAAACCGAGTCAATGAGGAATGTTACTGGTGACATTTTCTATAAACATCAAATTAGGCAAAAACTATCTCATGGCTGTTAACTGTTCCCAGATGGAACAATGACAGTTCAAAGCCAGAATCCAGCACACACAGCCTTCAGGTAGATGCTGTGGTTTATAGGTTTACTTGGAAATGTTTGCAGTTAACTTTTCCCTCTTCTGAGCTTGACACAATATTATTTCTCATTTTCGTTCTTCTTCACAATTTTTCGTTCTGTATTCACAGTGGACTGATTTTTGCATAAACAGGTACGTTGGCACCAGAGTCCCAAAACCAAACCACTTGAATGTGGAATTCATGTAGAAAAAAAAGGGATTTCTCTTTTCTAAGGAGAAAACACCTGTAGCCCACCACTCAAGGGCTAAATCTGCCTCCATGTCCAAGAAAGAACACAGTTTGAAATTATTTTTTTGGTGATTGTTTAAAATTAAATTAAAGCATTTGGGGCTGGTAAAGGTGTGAATCCATCTTCAAATGCAACCAAACCCAGACTGAGCAGTTCAGGTAAAAGCTGAGCTGTACCCATGGAGGCTCTGGAGGCTTGTGCAGCACTGGGATGTGTTTGGGACTGGAGCTGAGCTCCGTGGACATTGTCCACACAAAGAGCTCTCAAGGCAAGTAACTACTGCCTCGTTTGTCCCAGGATTAGAGCACAGATGAGGGTTCCATTTATAGCAAAAGGGACACAAAATTGAAACATCACTTTTTGCACATCATTATTACCACAGAATGTGTTATCCTGCTTTCCAGCTCAATTCCCAGACTGTCAGGAGAATTATCAACCTCTTGAAGGCAGCAAGTTGTGTGACCTGGCTGTAGGGATTTGGCAGGGGAAGACATTTCCAGATTTTGGGCATAAAGGAACATTAGGAACATTAAGCATTCTGCATAACAAAACTTGATTCATTCTTAAAGACCCCAGAACTATACAATGTGTTTTAAAAAAGAATACAGGAAAATAGTATGCGAAGTGGTTTTATGCAATAAATAATCTATTTTCTATAAATGTACAAAATCTGTTATACAGCAAGTAAGAAACTGATACAAATGCAATAGCTGAAAGATATATTTAATTTTATAACTGTAATAATTTATTTATGAAATATATCCACATATATATAAAATATATCATATGTTTTGGCAAAGACCTCCCTTTCTTGTTTCAAACAAAAACTATTACCACTGGTTTAAGCCTATATAGACATTTTTACTGTTGATTTCTTTTCACTTTTCTTTTGGTCTCCATCTTTCTTCTTATAAAATATAATTTAACAATGTGGGGTTATAGTTTAACCTGTGTGCCCTGGGGAAAGTCTGCATGAAGGTCAGTAACCCCCCAAAAAATTTGTAATGTCACAAGTAAGGGACTTCCTCTCTTTTTAAATAATATAGAACAGGATTTGCAAAAGTTACTCTTTTTCCTTTGCTGACTCTTGCATCCTTGTAGCAAAAAGAAGTCCATAATTTCTGAAGAAATCATTTACACTGAAAAATGTCCAGGGTTGGATTTAATCCTTATTGCCAAGTTTCCGGGTTATTTGGTGCTGGTGTTTCAATGGAGAGATAAAGGTGGGATTTGTAGCACTGGCAAAGCCCAGGGGATGTGCTGTGGCTCTGACTTGTAGGGGCCTGGGGCAGCAAATGGCCAGCACAGAAATTACTCTGATGGCATCAAGTTCCACAGTCCTACCCTTGCATCTGTAGGAAAATTCTTTGGGATGAATCACTGAAGTTCTGTTCACCAACTACAGTGCATGCCCAAATAATCACTGTAAGTGTGTTTGAATGGAACTTCCAAGTGCAGGAATAATTTGTGCCTAAATTAGGTAATCTATGGAATACTCAATGTATACTCTTAACTTGCTATAGTTTATAATAATATTTATATTAGCCATTCATATTTATTCTGCATAGATACTGTCATTTCAACATCTGCCACGAAGTTACAATATGATGATTCAGGCTTGCATACATTAACAAAAGAAATATTTTGTATCTGTTAATTCTTAATGAGAACTCATGTAGAGGCAATCTCCCTCTAACTCTCCACATTCTCCACCTGCAGCTGCCTGCACAGAGCTGGGGATGGATTCTTCAGACACAGAGCAAGCAGTGGGTGGAATAGTTTCTATTGTACTTGTTTAAATCACAGAGAAAAACGTTTCCTGAAGCTTTGCATTGTTGAAGTTTGGGTCTGCCTTTGAAGTTTTCTTCAATAGTGATACATTCCCTGCCAGGTTACATGATAAAGATTATCCTTTTCTGAGGCTCTCTCGAGGGGAGAAAAGCTTCTTCATAGAGGTTCCCATGCCCTCAGAGTGGCACTGCTGAAATGGAAGTGTTGCCTACTGCTGAATTCTCCACTGGCATCACACTGAAGCATCAAGTTTGTCCATCTCAAGGGAGAGTTGTAGTTTAAGTTCTTGTTTCTGAGCTCCAGCAAATAAATGTTAAAGCTTTAAAGAAAACAAACCAACAAACAAATACAGGCAAATTGTTGAATATTCAGCACTAAGTCCCTGTTACCTGAGATAATTGTGGTTGCCCTCCTTGGTTATGTGTACACAGAGCGAGCTCTAGACAGTTCTCTGATTAGCTCTGCTCAAATAATCACAGCAATAAATTCAGCTTGGGGACTTCTATTCCAAGTGCTTCCCTTCATAGCAAAAAATTTGGGATGTTCGTGTGACTTTTTTTAGAAGTGGCAATATAGAAACTGGCTACTGGGTCACAGTAACCTCCTTATAGCTGACATCAAAAGCACATTTACTTTTCCCTCCAGATACTTCTTCCACAAAGTTTTTCCTGTTTCTTTACCTTAACATTTCAACTTTTACTGAAGCACTGCATTGGGACATGTAGCTTAATTTGCTGCAGTGCTCAACAAGGAAAAACATGATAGACAGGAACAGGCCTTGTCCTGAAAAAAAAAAAAAAAAAAGCCAAAATATGTATTGGCTTATAGCCAAATAATCCAACTTTTGAAGGAGTTACATCAGCACCAGAAAGGTTGTAGCAGTTCTGTGTATAGTAAAGTTTATTTTAAAAATTAAGTTAAGAAAAAAAAAAAAAAAACCAAACAACTCATGGGCCTATTCTGTCCTTATTTAGGAAGGAGTGATAATATTCAGTTGAAAGAATTAAGAGTTCTGCAAGTAAAAGAACATTTACAGAAAGTGACTATTTCTTTTCCATATTAAGCATCTGTATCATACCTGATTTTTCAGAATCCTCCAGATTCTTTGTGCTATTGAATGAAATTGTGTTCCTCTTCCCTGTGTTGGTCTTTCTCTTCTGTCTTTTCCATTGATCCATGATTTCTGTAGAATAGACATTCCCAAACTTGTCACTGTGTTCTCATCAATGTCCCCATGGATGAAATTACAGTTTCATGTTCTTTGTTGGACTGTATAAAACATTCTAGAACAGTTAAATATTCAGCATGCCCCTAACTGGACAGATCTGCTGTTTCAAAAGCACCACATCATAAAAAGAAACAAAAAAGAAAATTCCAAGCAGTACTGGCTGGCTCTGGCCTCTTTTCTTCACTTATCAAACTCTGATGTGACACAGGAGTTTTCTTGCCTTTTTCTTCCTGTTCACTCCCTCATCCCACTGAAGGGGAAGTGAACAAGCATCAGTGCTTGGCTGCTGGCCAGGGTTAACCCACCACAACTGCAGAGGGGAGTTTTATTTAAAATCAATACCTTTTAATCAGTTCCTCTTGCTAAATGCATCTTGATGAATTTATCTCCATGAAATGGCCTCATCATGTGGCCAGGTTGCAGTGACAGGGAAAGACTCACCTTCTTCTGTCCTGCATTCTTCTGCAGAACTGCAAACACTGCTTGTCCTGAGCATCCAAACAGGAACATCGGGATGAGGACTGGGAAGTGCTTTGAGTCTGGCCTGTAGATCTTTTGCCTCTAAAGCTGCCTCTGTAGTTAGACAGTCCATATGGCACAGTCCTCCTGTTGTGAGAATCACATGTATCGTGTATTTTAGGAACCAAGTAAAATTATGTTCAATCTCTTGTCTATTTTAGTGAAGAGATCTGTTGATGGAAAGCAATAAATAGTGGCAGAAAAATCAAACCCTATGCTCATATAAGTTCTCCCTGTACCAGATCATAACTTCTGCCCCATCAACTCAGGCTTTCACCAAGTTATAAATTAGCAGACAATAGCTCTACTAGAAGGATTAAGTGGCAGCTACACTATCAAAAAAAAATTTGGACTACCTGAGAGATGATGCAAATACATCCCCAGATTATTTACTCCTTATTCCTATTTTGTGTTGGTTTCCCCATCCAGTGCACAAAATCTGTTACATTCAATGCCTTGACTGGTCTGAAGTGACAAAGGAGCTGTGCTGATTCCACCAAATCAGTACCATTGTGTAGTTGTCATGTAGTTCATGGTTCTGAGCCTGATTTGCCATTAATTTTATCACTGAGGAATTAAGAGAACTGTCAGCATGATTCATTTACTGCATCATGTTTAGAACACTTCCCCTGGAGTTACAAATGTGAGAAACTCCCAGATAATCCTCCTTGCATGGTTCTACCTATTCTGTGCTGCAGCACACCAAGAAATAGTAGGAGGTACCTCTATTTCCCTGCATGATTTGCTCTTTAATGGGTTATAGTCAACATTATTATCAGAAAAGGACATGGTTCATCACTGCCTGCTAACATCCCCAAAAAGATTTGGATAGTTTGGATTGATGTCATAAGTTACTCTCCTCCAAGCTGTTAAAGAATCTCAATCAACAGCAGCTGTACTCCCTATGAAACTTCTGCAGACTCATAAAAGTTCCTGAGGACTTGAGGGATGGGCTAAGCAAGCCACAAATCCACAAACACGAAAAGTCTGTAGAGAATCTCATGTTCAAAAGCAAGAAAGAGGAGGGGAGGAGTGAAAAAAAAAAAGAAAAAGGCAGGGAAGAGGAAGTCAGAGTCAATCTAGAAAGGTTACAGAAAGGTTACAAAGAACAAAGCCTGAATAATGAGTCTGGAATCACTACCTTCACATAGCTCTGCTTCTTTCATTTGCTTTCATAAAAACATCATTAGGCTGCTAATGGGAAAGCTGCAAATTTTCCATTTTCCCACACACATGGTGGGCTGAAAGGTTCAGAAACATTATTTTGCTAATCTCTACAATAATTTTTGATGCAACATCAGTACAGTAGATGCAAATCATTTATTCAAACTTCTGCACTCATAGTACATTTGTAACAGTGCACCTTGTCTTTCACAGCCTGAACCTGTCAGAGTTAAGTTGATCATAAAATCATCCTGAGAGAGAGAAAATCACAAGCTGTACTTTTGTGTCAGAGCCCAGGGGATGGTTTTTCTCCAGCAGATCCTGGTCTGCCTCCATGCAGAAAATGTTCCTTATTTTCATCACTTTACTCCTACACCAGGACACTGGGAGAGGCCAAGAATACCCGTATTTGTCTCAAAAGACTTTAGGACTTGATTTTGGCCTCCCTTCTCAAACCATCATTTAAAAAGCTTTTTGTTGTCTTTAGGATTAGAAGCAAGTCCCATCTTATAATTTAAGAGTATTAATAATTCTATACTGACATCTGCTTTACAATAATGAATGTGAAATGGCTAATGTAGGGAACTTCTGACATAAATAATTTCTCCATGGTCGTATTTTTTTTCACATTCATTTTTTTAATGAAGTAAGAACTGGTATTTAGAGGCAGGAGTGGAGGGAAGTTCCTTTATTTTTAACAGTGGCAAACCCTCTATGAAAACTGTCTGGTAAAATTCTGTTATTCAACTTCCTGCTCCAACTGAGACTGAAATGGAAAGATGAATTTTGTGTGTTCTAGAGCCCTGTTTAATGACAGATAGTTTGCCAGGGCATAAAGAAGCTTCTTGCAGCTTTTGCAGATGTCATCCTACACTATGCTAATGAGACATAAAACACTATAATATGTTATTCTCATTATTTAAAGTGGTTCCTTGTTTAAAAGTTCACTCTTTCAAAATATGATATTGGGCTTTTTTACTCTAATTCTCTAAACCAAAAGCTCTGTGGGACTGAGTCATGGTTTGCCCTGAGTCAGAGGCTTTGCCTGAATAGCCAGAGAGAAAGAAGGGCACGAGTTTTCTTCTTAATTGCTGCAATTGGCAAATTAATGGAGCAATCAGAATTGTCATCGACTTTCAATTTTACTTTAATCCATCACTATGTGAACTACAGTGATTGAGGAAGGGGCCCATTACCAATCTGCTGCCTTTCCTAAGAGACAGTAAATTCCAGCAAACAGGGAGGAGTGGAGAGTATAATTATACTTACAAGTTATAAAAGCCATGAATCACAGCCTTAAGCAAAGGAGGAAACTGATATTTTGGATACTGCTTCTGATCTTTCTAATGAAGTACGTTATGCTTCATAGCTTAGAAAACGTACTCAAGGCTACTTCATTCTCAGTGGACCAGAAACATGTGTCAATGCAACAAGTTTTTCAAGTTTTAGTCTTTTAACCAGAATGTCCAAAAGATTTTGTGCAGATTTGCCAACCAGAGATAGGAATTCAATAATAATTCAAATATGCTTGAGTTTTGGTTTCTAATCCAAAAATTCAAAGCCAAACCAGATACACTTCAAAAGCAACCCAAAGTCTTTCCAACAATCATCATGAAGAGCTTGATGAATTCAATAGACACAGGACACTTTGTCCCCTCAATGAAGATAAGGATCAGCTGGAGGAGAGCAGAGGCAGAACTGGGGGGACCCTGAACTTCCAATTTCTTACACTTTGTTCCTTGTGTTTATGACCCAGTCCCTGGCCAAAGAACTGGCTAAGCCATTTACTTTTTTTTTTTTTAATTTCTCTGCAGGATCCACAGGTTTTTAATGAATTCATTTCTTAAAGTTTACATTTCACAAGAAAAATTGAATTCCTGACCTTTAACTCAGTATGCAGCATTTCTTCCTTTAGGAGAATATAATTCTCCTGAAGTAAACTTATATGAGTTTAAGATAAACTTTCAGCTAAGGTGTGCTACGAGTCCTTTATGCCTTTCTTCTCTACAAAGTGGAGAATAAGCAAACCTAGATATTTTGGAATCAGCCTTTCCAAGGTACTACTTTGAACTGGTATCTGATTGGCAACATTCAAATCTCAGACTTCTGAGGAATTACACTCTTTTGGGAGGTTCACTATGATTACTCCAGCCAGCCATTGGGTGCATAAAGGTCTGCATGCTCAGTTCTTAAGCATTTTCTAACAAAGAGAAGGTCTGAGTTTAAGGAAATAGTATAAGCTATTTGTTCTTTACTCTGTATGCAAAAAAAACCCAACAAAACTAGCACAGCTCTCCAGTACTTGCAATTATTCCATGTGTTGTAATTGTGTTTAGTCAGTGCACCAGATAATTAACTGAATATAATCTCATGTATAACAGAGCAGTACAGAACTTATCAAAGCACAGTGTGTTTTTCTCAGATTGGGTATCAGAGACTGAAATGACCTAGATTATTCATGTACGTCGTGTCCATAAACACAATCAGAAAAGGTCTCCCCCTAAAAGCCAGCTAGCTCTTGGAGCAATGTTTTGCCATTAAATTAACAGAAATAAGTATTTGTTTGTTGAAAAAGGATAAGAAGTACCAAGTAATTAGTACCAAGTAATTTTTTCACTGAACAGCCATTCTGAAACAGTGAAAACTTTTCACATAAGAAAACTGCCTGTTGAAGGATTAATACCTTCAGGTTGAATTGAGAAGCAGGATTTCCCTGAGTCCTGCTGTGCCCTACCCACAGTGAATGCTCAGAATTCAGGCAGACAAATTCAATTGGTTTATTTTAATTTTTATAACATGTGGCTGAGTTTCTCATGCTACGTTATAATTTATCTATGAGCTGCTATTATTTTCTACGTTCCCAGCCACTTAAACACAGTAGATACCTCCAGGGCACCGGAGAGTTTCAGCCAAAACAAAGGGATGAGGGGGTTGCAGCAATCATCTTAGGCATTGTGATTTCAGGATTCAGCAATATATTTTCTGGCACACATCCAGGCCAGCAAGGCTCCCAACAGTCTCCAGTGTTTCCAGACAATCCCAAAATCTGTGGGATCCCTGTAAGGACCACTGGGAGCAAAGAACACAGAAAGGAAGCAAAATTTACTAACCTCTAAGTGAGACAAAATGTCCCCAGAATGAAGGATGATGCTTGGGGTAAATAACAGATATTTCTGTGTATATTTTAATATAAAGGCACTGCAGTAGCACTGTGTAGCTTTAAAGATTAAGAGATCATTGGCTGCTCTGGAAGTTTGCTCCAGCTCTTCCTGTAACAGGCTTGGATTTTTAGGAGATCAAAATAGAGGCACCTCCCATATTAACCCTTTCTTATCATTATTTAAAGTGTAAAACCTCTCCAAAGAGTGCCTGACTTGTTGCTTTGGTCATCCTATCCACATTCTGAGAAGCTGCACTTTTTCTGAATAGCTTTTTGAAGTTTAAGTTATTTTCAGATGAAACAACTTTTATTCTTTATAGCCATGCCTTTCTTTTCCACATCCTCAATTTAGTAGTGCTCAGTGTTCCTAGATACTGAACAGGCTCCTATTATCCAAAAAGATGTACCTTGCTATCTTATCCTTTAATTAATACTTGCTAATTTGCAAGGATGCCAATTAGTTTTAGTTCATTAGTTACAGCTAACTTAGGTAATAAGCCAAGGATTGCACACATCTGCTTCATCACTCAGGTCCACTGACCACATCACTTCTTTGATTTTCCTCCCCTGGGACTTCTTGGTACCCAAGTCAGGCACTGTGAGAATCTGGGGGCTGCTTATCACTCTCCATCCTCCTCCTGTAGCTGTCAAAGAGATCTTACAGGTTTTGGTCCTCAAATATGGTCAGAACAATATCTGAATTGTGGAGTGAAAAGCTAGGGTATATTTATTGAGGTAAACAATGGTCCAAGCCTTGAGGGTA